GTTACAGGGGCACTACGTTATTGAGCCCCGCAGGTAAAGTCTACGCAATGGTGCTAGAAAGGAGGTGTCGGGAAATAGTTAACCTCAAAATCCAAGAAGAGCACTGTGGCTTCTAGTCCGGTCGAAGCACCTCTGACCATATATTTGCCCTGCGTCAGATTGTTGAGAAATCGTGAGAGTATGCCTGTCCGGTGTACATGTATTGTTGACAGAAAAAAAGCGCATGAAGGGATCCGACGCAACAGTCTGTGGTCATACCTGCGATCAAACCGGATAGATGGCCAGCTGTAGGCAGACCATCTAGTCACTGTATTCTGGTAGTAGCGGACGCGCTAGAGTAAACAGCGTTAAGTCGAAGCCTTCGCTGTTGGCAGCGGTCTCCGCTAAGGCTTCGACTACCCGCCGCTTTGTTTGTATTGTAGATGGATAGAATATTCAGGCGCAACCAGGGCAATGAAAGTACCAGAGCAGGAAATGTCAAGAGAAGGCTGCTGTTTGTAGACGGCCTTGTTTTATTGGCATCCTTTAGAACTAATCTACAGTAGCCCGTAGAAAGGTTCGCAGCTGAGTGCGACGTGACCGGCTTGCGTGTGAATGCATCTTAAACGAAAAGCGTAATGCTTTCTCGTTCTCTTGCCCGTTGCTCTCTTCAGATCAATTGAGAGGCAATGGAGCAGGTGGAGAAGTTCAAGTACCTCGTAACTGTACTTACTAGTGATGGAATAAGTGAGAAAAAGATGGACCGGCGAATTTGAGTAGCCAATGGCGCTCTGCGTGAACTAGCCTGATCCACTGTGACTAAAGCAGAGTTCAGTCTGAAAACTAAGCTCTCGATATTCAAGTCGATCTATATCCCCATGCTTAAATACGGTCATGAGTCGTGGACCATGACTGAAAAACTTCGATCCCGGTGCAAGCGGATGAAATGGGCTTTCTGTGACGAGAAGCTAGCTTTACGGGTCGCGATTTGGTCTGGAATACAGACATATGCGAGAACCTTGGCGTATGGTCTCTGCTTCCTCAGAATGAGAAGTCACAGCGATGGTTAAGGCATATATTGCGAATGCCTCCAGAAAGGAAAGCTAAGGAACTGTTTTTTAGCAGACCAACAGGCAGAGGGCCCAGGGCATTCGGCCGAGATTAACCTGATGCAAATATATGGAAAGAGTCTGTTCTAAACTGTAGTTGTCTTCTGCCGAAGTTCAGACTCTGGCACAAAACCGGGAACGTTGCAGCCACTGTCTGATGAGTGTCTGCCTCCACTACCCCGAAAGGAGAATGGGACATGGAAGAAGAAAAAACATAATAAAAATACAAAAATAATCCGTTACCTGTTACTTGACTAAAAGTAATCTTCGTTTAAAAATCGAATAATATATGTTGAAGTTTTAACCTAAAATCAACTTAAATTTTGCTGAACATAAGGGACGTATATTGAAATTTTTTATATAAAAATTATGAGTCAAAGTAATGCTGCAGAAAACTACAAAACACCCTCTTTAAAATGATACTTTTTGCAAATAGGGACCACAAACCTAAAATGGTATTTATTAATATTGGATGATGCAAGTAGCAACTGCAAAGCAAGACAGATCTAATTAAAGCAATGAATAAACGAAGAAATCGAAACCAAAGGAGTAAGTTATTTAGGAACTGCAGAAAATATATCATAGTCTTAGAGCTTGGAACTGTTGGCATTTAAAAATGATGTTTTGAGATTATCGACTCGATTTTTTAAGTTTCTAAGTAGAAATGCGGAAACATTGCTTTTCACTCGAAAAAGAATTCATTTCCCACTTACCGAGAAGTGATCTCGTCTTGAACTTCGTGCACCTTCGCCTTTTCGGTCTCGTCCTTCAAATTGAGACAGACTTCGTCGACCAAATCTTTGAACTTTGCAATCTGGGGGCACTTGTCGTCGATCAGCTTTTCTACCAACTAAAATCAAAAGTAAGCACGAAACCAGAGAAACTGAAATGAAGCACCACCTTTTGTTCTTCCAGTTGTGCCTTGAGTACCCTGTGGTCACTTGATGGTGACTTCTGGTTAGCCATCAGCTCTTCAGTATCTTCTAACCAGGCGCGCAGCTCGTTAGATGTGTCTGTGTAGGTCTTCAGTTTATCATCGGCGCTTTGAAGTAGCTTTTCCTTCGATAAAATCTGAAGCAATGAAAAATCTTTTCATTACGACTACACTTCATGGTGTAACAAATGAAATTAAAGTCACCGTTTCTTTCAACTCGCTCAATAATTCCTGAAGCGAAGTGATCCTGGTTTCCAGCAGCGACGCCTCGGTGGAGTCTGGACTGCAGTTCACCAGACTATCAGCTTGTTTCGACAGCTGGTTAATTTGTTCCACAAACGATTCGGCGACTTCCTTGCATGACTACAATGTACCAACATCTTTTATGGATATTGCAAATGCAAAATAATGAACATCTGAAGGTGAAAGATCATAAGAAAGCAAAACTTTTGCAAAAAGAGAGTAGGTGGTAGGTCAAGAAATGGTCATTCGAATTCATCAATGTATCACATCCCTGTACCATATTCAACAAATGTAATCATAGTCAAGTCTACCCCACAGTATGGATGAACGTTCCTTTATAATATTTACAACATACCTTATTTTTTGAAAACTGTTCGACGATCGACATTTTAAAGCACGATGCAACAAAAATGTTAGTAATTATTTGCCGACACGTTCCCCTAAAAACCAAGAAGCATCGTTACTGTATCGATGCCAAGGGCAATCTACAATTCGTACGAGCCCAGAACCAGTAACGTGATGTCACATATACATATAACTCACTTCTATACTGTACAATGGCCTTTTGGATTTCGGTGTGTGATGCCTGTTGGACTGGTATTCTTGCGGAAATACTGAAGCAAAATTAATATCACTGCGTTGTGTTACTAAAAAGGTATAGCCGGATATGAAATGGAATTTATGAATAATGGGTGCTTATGCAGAGGGCGAAACATCGCATACTGAGTGCATACTGTAAACATACTTGACACAGGCCCTAAACAGCTTTGAAACAGGTCTTAACGGTGCACTGCACTGACCTGAGTTCCTACTTTCTTTACCAGTAATATACTGCCCATAGCTAGCAGCTCTTATGGCTGTAAGGAAAGACAAAAAAGAGGGCTTATATGAAGGAGGCAGTGAAATCTAGCCGTGGGGAGGAAAACATTTACTACTGCACTGTAATGCATTCATCTACTAATATTAGTCCATATTTTTGTCATACACGGTTTATATGACTATTCATATGACAAGGAAAAGGACAGCCGTTGGTACAGGCTCCACACAATTTCA